TACGCACGTCTGAGGCCTCGCTTCACATGCTGGTACATTTGCTGCAGCATGTTGAGTCCCCCTCAGTTTCGTGAGAGTGTGGGTCCCCTTTAGTGTCCTGGTGGCTGTAGCTTGAGTGGGGGGTCTGCGCTGTGCACTCTGAGTTGGGGGTGGGCGAGCCGATGGCCGTGGATGGTGGGGGTGCCTGACGTTGCATGTCCACCTTGAGGCCAGAGCCAGTCCTGTTGGTGTGAGTAACATGTTTTAATGGCAGGAGAATTCAGGTCGAGGCTACGCCTCGGGGGCGGGCTGGGCACTGGCGGACGTTTCTTCTCATAGAAGGTTCCCCTACCCTACGGGGATGTTCACTGGAGAAAAGTGAGAGGAAGGAGGAGCCACCCCGTTAGCCACACGGGCTAACGTTTCATGTGTTATTGGCCTTGTCCCTCTCAAGAAGCGAATGTTTTATTATTATTATTATTATTATTATTATTATTATTATTATTATTTTTAATCCTCACCCGAGGATATTTTTCTATTTATCTCCAGCTAGAGTAGGAGGGAGAGAAAGGGAGAGAGAGAGAAACATCGACGTGAGAGGGACACGTCTGGTTCCCTCCCGCACGACCCCGACCGGGGACGAACCACAGCCGAGGTCGTGCCCTCGGCCGGCATGAACCCGTGACTCGCTGGTCTGCCGCTGAGCCAGGCTGGCCAGGCAGGAGCGTATGTGTTTGAAAGGCAGATCCTATCTCGTGCCTGTCCTGCAGCCCGTGTTTTCGCTGGGTTATGACTGTGCCGGTCAGGTCCCCGCGGACGTCGTGCAGGCTCGGGTTCCGCCGTGTGGGCGTGGCCTCCTGCCGCCCGCGTTTCCGAGTGTGTGTGAACTGCTGCAGTGACCTCGGGACCCAAGTCGTTCCGCACCCCGGGGAGCTCAGCGTCGTCGTTCATGACCCCCTGCAGAGCGCCCCGGCACCCAGATGCGGGCAGAGTCCCCGCAGCACGAGGCTGGGAGCCCTGCCGGACTGCTCCTGAGCCTTTCTTGGTGCTGGGCCCTCGGAGAGGGGCGGGTGCGGTCTCCAGAACACTCACGGGCGCGTCCACGCAGGTCAGCAGCCGGGGTCCAGGCCCGTGCAGCCCCGGGCCCCGGAGCCTGCCTGAGCCCTGACACAGCGCATGAGTCGGGGCCTGACGGCTGTGGGTTCGGGGCTGGGCCCCGAGCTCCAGGCGGCCGTGCCGTGCTCATGGTGGGAACTCCGGCGGGGTCGCCGGGCCCCTGTGGTTCCGGGTCCTGTCATGTCAGGCTGAGCCTGGCCAGAGTTTGTGAGGTGTGAGAACTCCCGAGAGGCGTGAGGATGGGCAGACTGGCGGCGGGAGGGCACATCAGGGCAGGGAGGGCTGGGAGAACGGGGTGGTCCCCCCACCCTGCTCTGAAGGAGGCCACCTGCCAGCCTCCCCGTGCCTGGACAGGATTAGAAGCTGGGGTTCTGAGACCGGCACAGTGGTGCTGCCCTGTCTCAGGGACCTGTGGGGGCCAGCGGCATAAATGTCATCAGCCTATTGCTTGTAAACCGCCCCCTCCCCAGTGCAGGGGTCCTGGGAGCTCCTTCCTGGAACTCTGGGCTCGGTGTGGTCTGCATGGATGCTGCTCTGGCCTGGACCCCACCCCGAGCTCCTGGGGTCCAGGCCACATGTCCTTTCTGCAGAAGTCCTCCTGCCTACTGCTGGACCCGTCCACACTCCTTCAGCGGTGTCCCGAGGTGGCAGTGCCGTGACCGAGCCTGTGGTGTTGCCGTCTGACCACCTGGGCGGTACCTCTGAGCCACACGGGCCCTTAAATGTTGCCGATTCCCGGGCCCCACTCTGTCTCACCCAAAGCCTGGGGTACTGGTGGGGGGCTGCATGCTAAGGCTCCCCCTGTGAGCGAGGGGGCTGATTGGCCGCTGGTGTCCAGGATCGAGACCTGGTAGAGAGCAGGCCACGCTGGTGGGACCGAGCCAAGACCTCAGACCTACTCCACGTCCCGCCCTCGGGGCTGTCCCACCCTCCTGCTCCTCCGAGTGTGACAGGGGCTGGCCATGTGCGCGGCTCCTCTCAGCGGGGCTGGTCCTCTCCGGAGCAGGTCTTTCTCCTTGTCCCCCCGCCCCCCTGCACCCCACTCCACCCGAGCACACGTTCCTTGGCTGGCCGGGGAATGAAGCCGGTGGGCTCAGGTGGAGTGGCTGGGGCGGGGCCCAGAGGCCTGAGCTGGTTGCGTGTGGGTGGGGGCGGGGCGGGCAGGGCGGGCGGGCAGGTGTCTGTCTTCATTTCATTCACATCCTGGGACGCAGGTGCGATGTGGAGAGAGAAGCGGGGAAATGTCATCCTCTGACATTTACGTTTCAGAAGAGTTGGCAGGGCCGTGGAGGGGTCTCGATCATCTCCCCAGAGTGACGCCTCTGGGGGAGCCCGGCCCCCTGCGGGGAGGTGCTCCCAGCTCTGTGTCCTTTCAGGAGGGGCCCCCGCCGCCCCCAGCTCACCCCAGCTGTGTCGGGGGTCCCATGCCTGCCCCCCGCAGCCGTGCTGCAGGGGCTCCTGAGGTCCCCTCACAGACACCAGCCGGGAAGCGGCCCCGGCGGACCGAGGGCCGGGCGCCTCCGGCAGAGCCGGGCAGGAACCCAGCTCCGAGCCCTTTACAAACCACCAGTGACAGACCCCGGCCTGGGCCGGGTGACTGTGAGATCAGGCCTGAGGCCGCTGGGGTGGCAGCAGCTGGGACCCGGGCACAGGGACGCAGCGCCAACCCGGCTCTGTCCGTGGTCCGCTGGCTGCGGCGGCCGCTCCCTGCACGAGGCTCCGCCTTCGCACTAACTCCGGGTCAGCAAGTGGGTTCTGGTCCTGTGGCAGCGCTGCCCGACGGCTGGTCCTGGGGCTGCCTCTGCAGAAGGGCCCCAGCCTGCTCCCGGCTCGCTGGGGGGGACTGCGAGGGGGCAGGCCTAGGAGGGGCTCGTGTGCCCACAGCTGCCGAGCCCTCCCAGCTCCAGCACTTTGTCAACGTAAGAAACATTCAGACCTGGGAAGCATTTTCTGAGTCTGTTTGAGCCAAAACTGTGGACAGTCGCCGGGAAGCAAATCCTCGCGGACGGAGACAATGGTCCGGAGAAGGGCGGTCGGCACCTTGTTTCACACGTTACAGTCGAAAGAGGAGACGCACGTGGGCTCCGTCTGTGGCTTCCACGGGTGATGGGTCAGGAGGCGGGAGAGCAAAGCAGGAAGCTCTGGGATTGGGTGGAAAGTGCAGTGATGGACACACACATCCTTTACCCAGGTGGGCACAGGACAGTCACCAGTCAGCAGTCGACCCAGCGACAGCGAGGGGATCTGGGGTCTCCGCAGGCCGGAGCCCATGCTTCGGGGGGTCCGGGGAAAGGAAGAGTCCTGTGACATTCCAAAGATGTGTCGTCGTAGGTGCGGAAAGACCACAGACAGGCTCAGTGAGGGCAGAGACGGCCTTTGTCGGGGAGATGCCTGCCTAGGACGGGACCAGCTGCCGTAAACTGCGTCTAGTTAAGACATTTTCATCTCAGACCGTCCTCTGTGGTTACCTTAGGTCTGCGAGTTTGCAAGGCCGCCACGCAGGCCTCCCCGGGGCTGCCAGGTTAGCACGCGCCCCCTTCGCCCACAGTTCTAGCCTCTATGCTGTAGCCAAGGGCATACAGCAATATTGCTTTAGTGTCCGTTCTCTAAATGTTTAGAGGTCTGGAAAGCCAGAGTGACAGCCACAGCCGCGTGGCTTGTGAAAGACCCCACAGAGCCCACGAGCCGGGGGGCCCGGCTGGGCCAGCTGCACAGTGAACCGATTGAGGCTTGTCTGAGGGAGCACAGGCGAACCCTGTCGTCCCGCAGGGCCCCAGCTTCCACGAGTCCCAGCCCTGGAACGTAACCACCTCCCGGAAGACAGCACACAGCGCACGGCTCGTGGGCCGAGTCTGTGTCTCCCCGGCTGAGACAGGGCCCTTCTGTACGGTTTGGATCTCCCCCGCCCCCCCGAACCTTTAAGAAATTGCCGCCTCAAGGAGATCGGGCTGCAAGGAAGTCTGAGGACTGTGTCCCAGCTGCGGGCCCTTGGGCGAGTGACCTGCCCTCAGTTTTTCTGCCTCCCCAAAGCCCACGGCAGGATAGGCCTTGGAGGGGCGTGAGGGTTCCCCAGGGAGGGGCACCCAGCAGGCACAGTGGGCTCAGTTCCTGGGAAAACGAGCACCGTGCAGGCGGTGTCTGAAATGAGAGGTGGTCATCCTGGGTGACTCCAGGTTCCCTTTCCCCGGGTGCACCTGGCATGCTCGCTCTCTCTCACAGACGCACGCGCACATGTGCACTGTGCACACTTCAGCTCGTGCACAGGGATGCACACACGAGCTCCCGCTCACAGGGGGTGCCGTGCACACGAGCACCCACAGGCGAGCTCATGCGCCCTCACGCAGTGACGTCTCCGAGGCCAGCCTGGCGTCCCTCCCCCTGGTGCCCCGTGAATCCTGTCGCTGTGCTCGCCCGTGTTGGTCTCTGTGCACCCTCTCCTGCCTCCGTTTCCTCGTGATCCTCCGCAGAGCCCGGTGCCTGCTTGCTGCCCATCGGGTTGGAGACCTGTGGAATAGCTGCACCAGGACTTCTGGAGCCGGCGGTGCGGGCGCGGCGTCGGGAGGCTGGCGGGCACGCAGGGCAGGGCGGGTGGGGGCACTGCTCGGTGCTGAGCATTCCACAGCTTCCTGGTTGACACGTCTGCCAGTCGGGGCCCACTGCCAGGACCCCCTCACGCACTCTTAGCCTGCGCCATCGCCCCTCAGGTGCCCGTGCACCAAAATGACAGATTCGGTCACCAGGACTACCAGGAGGTATCGAGCCTGAAAAACAGGCTGCCGTGTTTCTCCCCCGACGAAATGTGCTCACTGGACAGTTCTCTGTTTCTCCAAACCCTTCGTGGCAGCTTACGAGGATTTTCTGTTTTCTTGTGAAATCACAGACGCATCTTTTCCGTCTTCCCCCAGGTCATCTCTGCGGTGTCGAGACTGTCCCTGCACAATGCGGCCCAGAACAAAGGGATCAGGTGAGTCCGCAGAGCCTCCACCCTCCCTGTCCACCTCCCAGCGCCGGCCGCTCACAGACGAGTTTCAGCGGTTACCCTGTGTCTTTATCGTGGGTTTTTTTTTTTTTTTAATCCTCACCTAAAGATATTTTTTCATTTATCTTCAGATAGAGTGGGAGGGAGGGGAGAGAGACAGACATCGATGTGAGAGAGACACATCGACTGGTTGCCTCCCGCACCACCCCAACCAGGGCCGGGCATGAACTGCAGTCGAGGCCCGCGCCCTTGACCAGAATCGAACCCGTGACCCTGGTCTGCGGGCTGAATTTTCAGCGTGTTCTTGAGTTGCCTGTTGGCGGCGGCTGGCGGGCACGTTCTGACGGCTGCCAGATCTGTTCCGATTTCGGTAACGAGACCAGCGAAGGAACTCTTCACAGCTCGCCGCCGGCACTCGCCACACGCCGGAACCGGAGGCCGGGTGCAAACGAAGCGGACGTGTTTGTGGTGAACACCGGGGCAAGGGGACCCGCCCGCCTGCCGGCCTCGGTCTCGGGGCAGGAATACCTCTGCTCGGTTTTCATTCCGCTCAGACGCCTGTGACCCCTGTGGCCTGGTCTCTCACCCCTGACACATGGATGGGGCACACGTCCCACAGGGAGGGGGGAAGGGCGGCCCCCGTGACATTTCGGATTCTGGCCCACAGGTCAGGGTCAGGGAGACGTCGGGGTGGGGGCCAGGTTCCAGGTGGGGTCGGGTCGGGCACAGGAGCTGCTCTTTCCGATACCCCTGGGGGACGTGGCCAGCAGCCGGGAATGAGGCCCGGGAGGGTGGGAACTCCGGGAGGCGACCTCACCCCGGTGCCTGTGGGAGACGCCGCCACCTGCAGGCTGGGAGTCCCCGGGCCGTGGTGGCGGTGTGGGCCCGGCCGGCGTGCTGCCCCTTGGTGTGGCCGCTGGCCCAGGTGCGGTCACGGGGAGCTGCCGCCGTGCGCACCCCGGGGCTTGTTCGAGGAGTTCTCTTGTTACGTCGGACACGGGCAGGCTGTGGAAAGACGTTTCTGAACTACGAGTGTATCGCACGCAGAAGCACGGTGACGGCTCAGGGTACGAAGGGTGACAGTAAGGGAGGGCTCTGAGCCCGGCGCCGGCTTACGTCCCGGACCGCCGCCGCCTGAGGCCCGGGAGCGCGGGCAGCTTCTCCCGCAGCGGCCGGGGGTCTGCCAGGGCAGCTCACACGCAGCCCGGAGGAGCTGTGTCTGGATACGGGGCAGCGCGTGGCTTCCGGTTTTGTTTCCGACGCGACGAGGGTTGGGTCGGGGTTCTACCCATCCTGTGCCACGCGGGTCTGTGCCCCGTAGGTGGGGGCGGAGCGCCCCTGTTCCCTGGGCGTCACAGCCGGGGATGAGACTGCTGGTGGCTGAGAGTGTGGAGAAGAAGGTGGGAGCTGGGCCTGCGTCTGTCCCAGCGTGAGTCCTGCCCTCTGCCGAGTATAAAGGCCCCCGAGTCGGCCCCCGTCCCCCCAGGTCCCGTTGCCCCTTCGCCCTCACAGCCGGAGCTGAGGCCCGAGCTGCTCCTCCGTGGCTCACCAGCCATGGGCTGAGCACGCAGCCAGCCCGCCCTCCCCTCTGCTCTGGGAGCCCCGGTGGCAGTGGGCCCAGGACGGGCAGGAAGGCCCAGCCCCGCCGGCCGCGCCCTCTGGGGAGACGGTGAGCAGAGAGCAGTGGGTGGGGCTGCGGAGCCCGTGTGAGCAGGGCCTCGCCCTGGGCCCTGTGTGCTGCGGCCCGAGCGGGCGGAGGCCTCTCCCGGGCCCGTCACATGTGGGGAAATGGGGCCGCGCCGGGGTTCCCCAGGGTGTCCTGAGACGAGACTTAGCTCCGTGTTGGCTCAGCAAATATTCCCGTTTGCTTTCCTAACAGAAACAGGGTGTGGGGGGGGCCTGGACCCCCTCGGGTCTGGACTGGCTAGAAGGACTCACAGGGCCCAGGAGGCCGCTGTCCTCATGGCGGGTGGTTCAGTGAGCGGGCAGAGGTGCCGCCGGCACGGGGAGCAGGCGCGGGCGGGGTGCCGGGCAGGCCAGGCTCACGCTCCGGTCCCCCTCCCGGCTGCGTGGGGACAGTCCTCCAGAATGACGTGTGACGGCTGGCGTGGACGTTGCCAACCCGAGGAGCCCGCCCGAGCCTTGGCGTCCAGGTTCCCATTGGGAGTCCATCACGCAGACACCGCTGACCACCCCCGTGGTTGACCTGAGTCTCCAGCCCCTCCGGAGTGGGGGGCTGATCCACGTGGCCCAAGGGCACCCATAGATTCATCAGCAGCACAGGCCCTGGCTGGGTCCAAGGCCCCAGGTGTCAGGCAGGACGTCCCCAGGGCTCAGGGCCAGACCTTTGTTGGGCTCGGGGTAGGTCTGCAGAGTTGGCCTTTTACTTCACACAGGAAGGGTGGGGGCAGGAGGAGGGGGAGGGGGGACGCAAAGGAGGCTGCACCCCTGTTGCTGAGTGTCCTCAGCACCCTCACCTCCACGCTGCACCCCCCTGCTCGCGTAGACCCCGATACAGAACTCTTCCAGAGTCCTTTGTGCTTGCAGCCCTTCCTCGTTCCTTCCTCGTTGGAGGGGCGTTCAGCGGGCTCCTGGAGAAAAAAACCATCATTTTCACAACACTGGTACTTTGCATAGTGAGCTGGTTTTCCATAAAAGCCCAGTTTCACTTCTCAGAGGCTGAGGTGGGAGACTCACCATCTGAGAGCCCCACCCTGGTGCCCGCTGGATGGCAGAAGTGAGGTGGAGGGTGGTGGCCCGTGTCAGCCCATCCAGGGGACACAGCTCCTGTTGCAACAGAGCTGGTCCCCCAGGCTGAGGGACGGCTGCAGGGACGGGTGATGAAGGGCGGGGCTCTGAGTGAGGGGGACAGGGAGGCCCTGGAGTCCTTAGCCCACGAAGGGCTCCTCTGTCAGCCACCTGTGCCAAGTGACCTCAGGCACTGTTGGGGCTCCGTTACAGAGGGCTGGGCCGGGTGGCCGTCTCGGCTCACGTGCCCCCTGGGCCGAGGCCTGGGTCGGCGGTGGCAGAGGCTGGACGTTCCCCACCCCCATTGGGCTTCTGTTTGAAGTGAGTTCTCAGACTGTAAACGCACCCATATCCGAGTCTCAGCACGAGAAACCCTGGGACTGACCGTGAACACCCCTCACCCCGTGCTGGCCGGAGAGAACCCGTTTCCTTCCCTGCCGCTGCCGGAGCTTGGGGTGCGAGCTGTTACCCCGGTGCTCTTGTGAGTCACTGACCAGAAGGTGAAGCTGCTTCGGCCATAGGTCAGCCTGTTGCCTGGTGGGGTCCCCAGTTCAGCCCCTGGTGGGGGTCGCCTTTTGTCTCCAGTGGCCAGGGGTACCCTGGTGCTCAGTTCAGAGAGCGAGAGCCCAACCTCTGACCCTGTGTCTTCCTGATCCACCTGACCGTGCCGGGTACCGCTGAAGCCAGGTGACTCAATCACACGTCTCCGTCGCAGGGTGGCGCTGGGGGATCTTGGCCCTGAGCGGTTCTCCGAGGGGCCTCAGTAAGGTGAGGCCCTGTCCCGCCGCGAAGCCCCGGTGCCTCCCCTCACGTCCTTCCTGCCTTGGCAGAGACTGGCTGCGGTGGGTCTGCGAGCCCTCTCGGGCACACGCCCAGCTCCCTGCATGGTGCCCATTCAGGCCGACGCTGTCCTGTCCATCCGGTGCCGCCTGGTTAATTCCAGGTGGTCGGACTGTGCAGGGGAGAGATCGGGGCAGGAAGTGGCGATTCTCATGTGCTTAGTAGCCAGCGAGATGGCTTTTGTCGTCCCGCCTGGTGGCATCCAGTGTCCTGGCCACCGTCCTCGGAGGGCCCGCCGTAGGGGCAGGTGGGGGTGTGAGTCCCCAGGCCAGCCTGACGGAAGAGCGTGTCTTCCTCCCGTGACGATGGCGTCGGCATTGTCTGCGTCAGCCAGGGAGTCAGTAACTGGAGACATGAGCTTCCTTCCCAGGATGGGGGTCAGGCCACCTTTGAATTGTCGGGTGTGTGGGTGCGGTCTGCCTTCTCCCGCCTGCTCTTTCTCTGACGGGTGGGCTTGCACGTGGCCCCTCTGTCCAGCTGGTGCCTGCCCTGAGCCTCGTGCCCAGCTCATGGCTCGGTGGGGATGGCATCGGTCTGAAGCCCCACGCTCCAGCCTGGCCCGGCTGCCACCTCATTCCATAGCCTCTGCTGTTCGGTCCCCTCCCACATCTGCCCGGGCCGCTGCTCAGGCCCCCCAGCTGTGGCAGGACGCGCGTGAGTGGTTGCCGCCTGTGCCCGAGCCCTGGCCGCCGCCTGTGAATGGCTTGTCATCAGAACCGAGTGAAAGCCGGGCCACATGCTCAGCATGAGCTGCATGGGGCCGGTGTGACAGACAGTGGCCAGGTGACTCTCAGTGAGCCCGTCTCTACCACAGACTCGGAGGGGGGAGGGGCGCCTCCTCTCCTCTGCTCCCCACCACTGAGCAGGGCTGTTCAGGAACACGTGTGCTTCTGCCCCCTGATGCCACCAAGGAGCGAGCGCTGGAGAGAGACACGTGTTTAGAGGGGGCCGCTTCATGCCGGGAATGTGGGGAGCAGCTTCATGCTGGGCAGTCGGGGAGCGGTGGGGGGGACAGCTGCTGGAGCCTTCCTGGGGCCAGGGGTCTACAGAGACAAAACGCAGCTGAATCTCTCCGCTCCACTGCCACATGGTGACCGCCATGGTCGGGGGCCTGCCCGTGCCCTCAGCGTGTCCACAGGACACTTGTCTGGCTCATCGCATAGATTTTTATCATTGTTTCCTCCCTTTCCCAGCTTGCTTCCTCTCATCCACCCACCCACTGCCCACCTGTCCTTCCAGCCAACCACCTGTCTATCTGTCCATTCTTCCATTCATCTGTCATCTATCCACTTACATTTCCACCCATACTTCTGAGTATCTGTCTGTCCTTCCTTCCATCCATCCATCCATTCATCCATCCATCCATCCATCCATCCACTCATCCATCCACTCACCTG